CCATCAGTCTCTGTTGCATCAAAAACTATGTGAGTCTATTTCGAACAAAAAAAGGACTAGAAATGTTTATTTTTGTCTTTTGGGTATTATTTTAGTCATGCTTGCGAGTGATTATTAAGTACGAGTCACTTTTGTAAGTGATTAGTAAATTTAGATTTTTTAGTTGAAAAACCAAGTGCTCCTCTCTTTCTCCTTGCATGACTGAATTTTTCACCTGTGGTTATTTTTTACTTGCCTAAAGTCTATGGTTAATTGTTTAACATTAAGTACACTGTCAAGTGTCAGAACTATGTGCATGGAAGAGTTTTGGTCCTGACGATCATCAAGTGTTTTTGAGGGTGCGGGAGAGTGGCATGCTGTGTTTCTTTGTTACTATGAGGGTAATATTCATGTTCATGAATTAGGTTCAGTTTAAAAAGACATTACTCCTATCGTCAGCAGGGAAGCAAACTATTGTCAAAATTATTATTATTATTATTATTATTATTATTATTATTATTATTATTATCATCAATTTCATTTATTATTTCTTTACAAAAGGTGAATTTCAGGGACTGATTCCACATAACCAAATGCCAACTTCCTTGTCTAATGTACTAATGTTGGAAGATATATTGCCAGCAGCTTGTTTCTTTCTATTACAGGCTTGATAAAGTCTGTCAGATGCCTAATATAAACCTCACAGTATGATAAATCATTAAAAACAATATAACTAACATAAAAATGCCTCTTGTAGTATGAGTAAATGAAAGAGCAAGAAAAGCGGTGTTGTTACATACCACCTACTTGCTGAGAAATAAAACCCATCTGGAGTGCCATGTGGCTAGCACTAGCATCCATCCACTGGCCATAGTAGCAAATGTATTAACATCTCCAGCTAGTTAATGGCAATATGATGGTACTAATGTGTATAAGATGTGCTCAGAATGTGTACTTGCCCGTGAAGTATGTAGCCATTCAATCAAATGTAAAACAGCGTGGTCTGGAAATTCAGGTTTTGTTTTTCCATATTTATGGGCAAACATTCAGACTCTTTAGTTCCGGACTGTATCAGACATGCATAAACTAACAAAAGTAAGGGGATTAACAATTTTACTTTTCAGATCATATTCCTCGGAAAGAAGTATGTGTAAGGCTTATTTTTGATAATGATTTGTTAACCAGATTGGATGTCTCTTGCCTTTGAACACTTCATAATGCATATCTGAGCTAATATATATCATCGCAAAGTAGCTAACTTTGATATGCATAAATATCCCCAGAATTGAGTTTGGATTCTTGAATGAAACAAAACATACTGAAGTCATAAGGTACTGATAATTAAAGGTAATTCATCACTACAATAAAATTATGATGCAATCAGTTGCATGTTGCCTGTTATGCTGAACTCTTGTTTTATAATTACTTATTATAATATAGGTGTTATGATACATCATAACATGTTAAACCCAACATACATCATGAGATAAGTCCATGGAAGCATATTTGCTATATTCAAATACTCCCATGGTCAAATTGACACTCAATTTAGTTTATTTTTTGCATATTTTTCATTAGAACTTGTTATGTATTAATAATTTTCATTCATATTTTGTAAATAATTATACTTTGGACATAAGATAACTTACATCTATGGATAATGTCATGGAACCATTATAAGAAACCTTTATGGACATGATACAAATAGGAGAAAATCTGGTATAGGAAGTTAGGGCTATGTCTCCCCATCCCTCCCTCAAAAAAGGGGGGAGGGAGTATGTGCCCCTTACTCCTCCCTCTAGCAAAGACAGAACAGGAATACTGTGGTTTAAATAAATAATAAATAACCATGTTGTTGATAAGAGAGCAGTAAATAAATGGAAAATCTTTATATGGAAAGAAGACTGTCTTGTCATAAAAAATCTGCTATGGGCTGGGATGACAGGAAAGTGTCATTATGAAAAATTTGCCTTAAAGCCTCCTGACCCTATTCTTGCCTACCTTGACCTGCAGTACAGGGTGTATTTCAAAAAAATTAATAATACAAAGATATTAAAAAATGACAAATAACAAAATGTTGCTTATTGTTATAGGCACCTGGATCCAACAGGTTAAGGATGTTAGTAAACAAACTAGTACAATAATACAATAATGTAATTTCTTCGGTCATTCACAGGATAGTCTGAAATTACGTGTATCACCTTAAACATAATAAAATTTCAAACTTTTGATATTCCAGGGGAAGCTAATGCATCGATGGAGAAGAACATTGCCAAGGCAGTATGTGGACCCCTGACTGCAGAAACCACCCGGATATCGCGTTTGATCGCCTCCCTCCCCGCTGCACAGAATTCGACTCTCACTGCCCATGCAGCACTCACTAATGCTGCAAGGAACCTCTCGAATTCCCACTTTTTATTGGCCGCTCTCAATTGTAATCCTCTAGCGTCTCTTAAATCCCCTTAATCCCTTCTTTCTTTCTTTCTTTTCTTTCTTTCTTTCTTTCTTTTTTTCTTTTTTCCTTTTCTTCTTGGACTAGTTTGTTTTTTTCATCTTTCTCTTTCTTCTTAGACTAGTTATTTCATGTGTTAGTTTTTTTTTTCTCTCTCTCTCTCTCTGTCTCTATTTAGCTCTGTCTAGTCTTGGCAGATTTTCTGCTTGAAATACTGAATACTGATCTTTAAGGACTGTAATTAGTCTAATGTAATTATTCACATGATTTATTACTCTTTTCTAACAGAGGATAAAGCAATAACTTTTTTCATTATAAAGTTGTTATTTATTTTTCACTGAATTTATATCAATCTTTTGCTTTTAGGAATAATGAGATCTTATTGAAGGAGGGGTTATTTTTCAACCCTTTTCTTGCATGGTCATAAAATCTGCACATGTGATATTTATGTACTCTTATGTTTAAAGTGTTTACTTTATGTATTTCTTTAATATAATTAATTACTTTAAGTATAAATAGCCAAAAAAGAGATATAATGCAGTCGCATATAATGCAACTGAGACCACCTGCTTTCTTACTTTCTCGTGTTATATATAAATAAATGGATTTATATTTCTAGGTTTCATAATAAAAATAGATAGTTTTCTATGGTTTTTATGCATACCAAGATCAGGTAGAAGCTCAGTATTAATATATAGGGTACTGTTGTATATCAAGATATGAGTTCTACTACAGAAAAAAGCTTGGAGAATAATATGTAAGATCTGCTCATAGTACTATTTTCAGTATGAGAATTCTAACCTGTTGGTTACATAATGCATGTATTGGAAACTTCATTTATTTTTCTTTCTTTTTTTTTGTAATATTTATTCAAATAATAATAAAAAAAAATTATGGCAGAATTTGCTACATGAAGAGATAAGATAAACACAAGATGTTTGTAAATAAATCTATGGATATGGCTTGAAAGGGAGAAAAAGATATTGCTTACTTTGTACTTGCTATAGCAATCTGCTTCTCCTTTGTTGGGACCGAGATTGAGTAATCACTAACTAATGTTTTACACCATGGATATTTCTGTCACTAAGATAATCTAAATATTTTGGATAAGAAATTTTGAAAATATCTTTTCAATGAGTAACTAGTAGATATTGTGATGTGAAGAGCTTTTGATTTTAATTTTGTCAGAATCTTTTTCTTCACAAGCTGCCAAGAGGTGACAGTAATGTTTTAAAGGTTCATAACCTTTATTTTACTCTACATATTCCAAAAGTATGATTCCTTGTCTCGTGTGTATTGAAATACATTAGATGAAGTGATTGTTTAGTTCTATGATCTGTCATGGATCTACCATCCATTCATGGTTGATCATTTAAATCACATTAAATGGAAACATTACATTACATTTACATTATAATATTATCTTCAGCAAATCAGATTTATGTGAAACAAAACAAATCTTAATTGTACTTGCCTTCAGTTTATACCAAAATTTCTCACTCTTGCTTAGTTGGGTTAGTAACACCTTATTTATATTTGCTTCTTTTGCAACTTTCATGTTTTTAAGTTTTCTGGGCCATTAAATAACCTTGCTTCTTTCTACAGAGACAGTCACTTAAAAGGAAAACTTTTATTTTTCAGCCATTAGTTGTACAGCATTTATATGTATGTGCCATGAAGACTGATGGTCTTTTGCAAAATTCTTCATTTTAAAAACACATCATTCCTATACTTTTATCTTGATCTTCCTGTATAGGTTTTTTTCTGGAATATTAAAGCACCATAATACAACATGATTAATTTCTTTTACTCTTTATAAAAAAATAGACTAAATAACTTACTTTAAAATATATTAAAAATTCAATATGTTTCAAGCATTCAGGAATACAAACATTTTAACAAATAATTAAGCTTGTACAAGCATTTAGTCATAAACATGTGCAGAAAATGCCCAAGCTAAATGCAACATAATTTCTAAATTTATTCTTGTTCAACAGCTGCCTGAGCTGCACTGTTTCCTCTTTAAAGTTTTTATCCTGTCTAAGAACTCAAGAGGTGCAAGTGGGCAACCCTTGTGTATCCAACTACAGTCTCCTCTTCCCAATCCAGTCACAATACTCTTGCGGTACTTTTTCATACCACTCATATGGGGGCTGTGAGGATCAGAGCAGAAAATGTTTAAAAAAGAAAATGATGTGGTTTACAAAGTACATATTAATAAAGTTACATAATGCATGTATTGGAAACTTCATTTATTTTTCTTTCTTTTTTTTTGTAATATTTATTCAAATAATAATAAAAAAAAATTATGGCAGAATTTGCTACATGAAGAGATAAGATAAACACAAGATGTTTGTAAATAAATCTATGGATATGGCTTGAAAGGGAGAAAAAGATATTGCTTACTTTGTACTTGCTATAGCAATCTGCTTCTCCTTTGTTGGGACCGAGATTGAGTAATCACTAACTAATGTTTTACACCATGGATATTTCTGTCACTAAGATAATCTAAATATTTTGGATAAGAAATTTTGAAAATATCTTTTCAATGAGTAACTAGTAGATATTG